TTATCCTAGAATGCACCCAAGAATTGCATCAAAAGCCAATGAAAACAAATTTTAATCGATGCAAATGAAAGATAATGGTTCCAAACGTAATATAATCCGTGCAAAATGATTTTAAACGGTGCAAAGTGGAAGAAAACTTACCTGGACGTTAATGACGAACGAGAGAAAGCAAAGGAAGAAGATGAACGCAACGAGAGAGAAAACGCATAACTGGCGAATGCGAACGAAGCAAAAAACTCAAACAAAAACGCGAAAGAAAGTGAGGCTCGCATTCTGAGTGTTTGGGGTTTCAAAGGGCATTTGACGTCAACCGCCCTCTAAATCCGACGTCTAATTAGTAAAAAATCCATTTTGGCGCTACTTTTGGGATATTTTCGCAGCGTATTAACGTTTGGGGAAGGGGATCCGACGTCTAATGTGTATTAGATGTCGGCTCCTCCTATGTTCGACGTCTAATCTCTGCAAAAGTGACCTCTCAATTCTGATTTTGCAACTTCTAGAAGAAGATTTGACGTCTGATCTTGGGGACACTAACGTTAGTGTGTACAAAAAATTAATATTGGCTCTTAAAATGATATTTTTAGACCTTTTTATGTCTGATGGGGGCCCGACGTCTAAAGAAGGATTTGACGTCTGATTTGGGGGGCCTGATGTCTATGTCGTAAAAAAACTTAATATTGGAGCTTAAAATGAGATATTTTAGGACCCTTTTGACGTCTAATTTGGGGGCGACGTCTAAAGAAGGATTTGACGTCTGATTTGGGGGGAGGGTAAGGCGACGTCTAAAGGAGGATTTGACGTCTGACCCTGGAGGAACCGACCTATATAATGACGTTTTATTTCAAAAAATGCCACCAGTCATTTTTTATGTTGGATTTTCTATGGTCAAACGTTATACGCGTGACGTTAAAGGTCATTTCTGCATTAGTGTATTCACCAAAATACACATACAAAAACACGTAAACCGTTGTCATGTGCTTGTCAAAGGTACTCTGACACTCAAGTCAGTTAACGAATATCATCAGTTATTGCATTAAAGTCTTAATTTCACAAGAAATGCAATCATCTACCTACTTACCTTACTGCTGTATTTATAGATTTCAAAGTGGGCTTTCAATTTATGATTGACCCAATTACATCCCAATAGTCCATTAACTTATTTTACCTTATTTAAACATGTTGGATTTATGATAATGATTTTAATATGTACTATTGATTGGTTGTATATGATATGTTAATCGATTGGTCTGAGATCTAGAAAAAATGTTAATTCTTTCGTGAAAATTAACTACTCGATTAATAAAGAAGTAAGTTGACCGAACGATTATAAATTATATTATATTATAAAATAAAATTAGTTCATGTAATTGTGAAATATAATCAATTTCTAAAAGTGTGTTACAATATTGGTGTAATGAAGATTTAATTTTACAATTTGAACCTAATGAATACTAAAAAATAATTATATTAAATAATACAATTAAATTAATATTATACATTTATGCATATCTTTTCCAAATAAAAAGTAAAAAATGTTGAATTGATTATTTGGACCAGATCTTGTGGAACATAACTGGAGGAGTGTATATTGTTTGAGGGAATTATTTTATACAAAACATTTACGTCACGTGAGTAACATGTTGATCAAATATAATAACAATATTGAAATTATTATTTTTATGATATTTTAGATAATGATAATTTGATAATAATTTTTTGATAATATTTTAATATTATTTATGTGTCATTTTGTGATTGAGTTATGTTTATGTTTATAATTATTATTCTAAAATAATTTTAAACTAATATCAAAAGAACAAGTAAATAAAATTAAAATGTTTCTCAAAATAATATTATAAAAAATATCATTGTCACAGTGTTTTTCCGTATTTGTGGTTATATGACTTTCTTCTTAGCTTATGTAATATTTTTACTTTCTTCTATAAATTTTCTTTCATTAGATCCCATATCTTTTTATTTATAGTCTATTATTACTATTGCGTTTGCAAGACATGATTGACATGACACTTATGATAACTGATGATGGTATACATGCATTTTCTATTTCTTATTTCACCCTGCAAAAGCCAAATTATTAATGATCACAACATGAATAATATGAAATATATTTCTTAGCGTGTTATTGCAATTAAATCATCATATTTTTTAGTGACACCGTTATTATGACACTATTGACATGATATGTTTGCATTTCGTTATACTTTTTTTAGTACCTTTTTTTTAAACCCACCCACTTGACAATATTTGCTGATACTCTTAAAAGAATACACTCAACTAATAACTCTAATTAGTAATATAATAACATGTATTAAAATTTTAAATTAAAAAATAAAATAAATATAATTAAGAAATTATTATTTTAAATAGTAATATAAGCATTTATTTTTTCTTTTTAGTAATGTTAACAAATTATCATTCAAAAACAAAACTTCATAATATTCCTTCAGGATCATATAAAAAACTTGTTTAAATCTCATTACTATGATTGGCTACTATTCATCTTTTTATTTTAAAAAATTATGATAGAAGAAGTAATTATGACGGTTTAACAAAATGGTAGAAAATTATTTTATAGTTCCAATTTTATAATTAAATCACTTTATATTTCCTTTTTCATAGTTTGTTAGCTCGGTCTGGATTTGTTTGATAAGCGAGAAAAAATAAATTAGAGGATAAAGCTAAAACTCCGTATACATGTTTATATTTTTTTAATTTTTGAACTCTTTCATAACTTTTTAAATGTTTTATCCTCGCACTATCAAATGAAAGTGGTATTAATTTCTAAGTATTTCTCTTAATTAACTTAATTTGCTAGAAGATCTACTAATTCATGCACTTCAAATATCGGTCTCATTAATTGAAAGTATTTACTAATAAGGTTCTAGTACAAACTTAATTAAATTCAATATATGTTAATAATTTTTCTAAGGTTTAAATATGTTTACATTTACTATTAAAGATTTGATTTTTAGCTTCAATTAAATGTGTGTTAAATGTGTTGTTTAGTGGTAATTTTAACTATCACTATTTTTATTAATTGTCATCAAATTTATTATAATAGTCATAATAACTGCTATTAAAATTATTAAAGTTTGTTATAACTGTCTCAAAATTAATTTAAAGAAATAATTTTCTAATGCTCATTCTACAAATTTGTATAAATTACGACTTAAAAACTCACATACACCGTTGCTTCAAATGCAACGACGCTACCAAGAGACTGCAACGCATTTATTTACATTTCACTGATATGTTCAAAAATATTACTCCACTTTTCAACCAATAAGAGAAACATAAAGTTGCACCTTATCACAAATGAAAGCTTATAATATACCACATACCATTAATGCCAAGCAAAATGATACTGAAACAAAAAGCCAAACTGCATGAATGGAACCTCCTGTTTCTTAACTTTGTGACACAATCATATGGCAATGGCATAGCCCCATCTCCAGAGAAAGCATAAGCCATTCTGGAAAATGTTTAAGCATATCATACTATATTCTCTAGTAAGTGTAACTGAGATATTTAGTCCCTATAAAAGAAACAAAAGGTGCACTTTAAACTTAAATCAATTGCTTAACTGAGATTTGTATACTATTTATATATTATAAATGGATCTTATATTTAGTTGATGTGAAAATTTTAATATATCCTCACAACACAAAGGAGGAGAGATGAGAAGAGGGAAAGAAAGAAAAGGGGGAGGGGGAGAGAGAGATGAGAGAGAGAGAGAGAGAGAGGAGAGAGAGAGAGAGAGATGATGAGGAGAGAGAGAGAGAGAGAAGAGTATATATATATATATATATATATTTTGTAAGTAAACATTAATTGGTAGTCTAATAATAATCTGCATCCATCACCCTATTGTAAGTAAAAGACATTAATTGGTTGTTCAATAACTATTAGATAGTGAATGAAACAATAAACCCTATAAACAATGAATTTTGTTAGGAAATGTTCTAACTTATAATTTAGATATAAAAGGTGAACTTTACGTAACTTAATCTATAAAACTTGAAAGATAAGATTTATACTCTAATTATGTATTGTTTATTTAAGTATTAACGAACTTTAATTTCTATCCACCACAATTTTTTTTAAAGCAATTATTACAATATAGTTTATCTCTCAATGAACTAGCTCAACTACTAGTTTTCTCTCTCAATTGTTATTACAAGGTCCCATTTATATATATAGTTTCAATAACTAACTTCTTTATAAGTTTTGTACGAAAAGTTAAATTAAATTAATTGTTTCTTATTTATTTTGAAGTTTTCTTAGAAATTGAAAAAAAGGTTTACAGTATAGTTATTATATACAAAATTGTTCTCTGTTATAAAAATCGTCTGACTACATATATACGTGTCACTCTGTAAAACAACAAAAATGTTGTGTATATATACAAGCATCTCTATGAACATAAAAGGGTTGTGCTGTGACTGAAGGTAGAAGACAAGAAGAAAGCATTTGAAAAACAAAAAAAAAGATTTATTGCATTGTTTTTCACTAAAATCTTGTATAAGTTATTAATATTATCATGTATATATTTTATCCATCATTTTAATAATTAATTACCAATTTTACAAAATTTACAATTTTGTTATTTTGTTGAATAACTCAAGTAAAAAATGTTGAAAGAGTAAACATTAGGCTGATTATATATTTACTATCTAACTAGTCTCAAAAAAGAAATTAAACAATTTCATCTTATTTTAATTGATGAAATTAGTATGTCGACCAAAATCAAACTACATATACATACAAATTGTAGAATCAAGGTAAGTTTATTTATTGAGTAGGTATACCGTGAATCATATTAAAAAGAAAAGAAAAAGGTTGTGAGTATCTTTTGTAAAGAAGAATGGAACATTTATGGAAAAATAAATCAGGAAATCATAAGAATTTCAAATGAAGCAAATCAGAAAATACATGAACACTGAAAGCAGAGGGAAGGAAACTACCCAAATTTATTTCATGCAAACAAAGGATCTTCATATCAAACATATCACAATCATATATATTATTATTACTATACAGATAAGGTCTTACCCTAGGGCAATGTCAAACCCATTATTTATTATACTCATAAGCACTTACCCTAGGGCTATATATTACAAACTTTTGAAGCTATTATTCCTTGAGAAGACTATCATCAATATCTCTTGTGCATTTGTGCAAGCACTCTATGTAGCCATACGGAGGATCAACTTCTTCATCAACCCTCTCATATTCAATGGTCCATTTGATAACAGCACTACCATCACCCTCAATAGCTTGAAATATGAGCTTAAAGATCTTAAACTGGTGATCTATGTCTCCATTGAAGAGCTTGTAAATGATTCTTTTGTTTGCTTCATCAACTGACTCAACGCTCTCATGACATGTTATAACCTTACCTTCTGTTCTTTCTCAAACAGTCAAAACCATTAACATAAACATTGTGTCAATCATAAAGATAAAATAAAAGAATTTATAGTTTTCTTTCTTTAATTTTAATCTTCATCTCTCTCCTTCAAATTGTTTTGATTTTCTCCTCTTTAAGAACCTTACAACAAGTGTTATAGCTCGAAACCCAAAATTGAACTAATTAGGCAAGTCGTCATGAATAATTTCTCACTCGTTCTTTAACCACAATCGTTAATTTTATTTTCTAATAATATGGACTGGTGAAAAATTTAAGTTTGAATATAAATTTCACATTAACTAAAAACCCAAGTTGAAAAATATATATATAAAAGAAAACATATGAATTCATTGATAAAAATCTTTTTAGGAATTTATCAGAAAGATATACAATATTGATGTCAATCTCAAAGATAAAATCTTAAAACATATGTGAATTTTGATTTCCAGGTTAACATAATGAGAATTTGAATTACCTATGGTATAAGTCCACTGTTTGATGGACTCATTGTGATGCCAGTCATGACCATGATGCAGCTTGACACCATGGATTCTATCAGCAAGGTTTTGAACATGATACAGTTTCGTTGTGTAGAGGGTAAACCACTTTGCAGCAGTTGCATGAACCCCAATTTCAATGCTGATTTTACCAGCAAGTGTCATGATGATAAAGAAAGAAGCAAGAACTATATGAAACAAACAAAGAAAAGGGTGGGAGATGGTGAAGAATATCACCACCATATTCTACTTTTATAATATATAGGAACATAATTTAACTACCCATGAAATTAACTAATTAACTAAACCTTGGGGTCCATATCTATACCCTACAGAAAAGAAAATACCTAATCACACACACACACACGTTATATATTACTTTTTTTTACTAGTGCGAATATTTTATTGCAATCATAGCAGTCGTTATTATATAATATAAACGTGACAGAAACAAAATGTTTCCCGCCAAAAACACTTTTACATGCAGCAGTGATACGTTCAAGCATATATATATGACGATGTTCATATAAGAACACTAAAGCAGTTATTCACGATCTTGTCATTCGGAAATTATGGGTGATGTGGGTCATTAATGTCATCTAGTGTTCATTATTGAATATTTTGATAGATTTGAAATGATTTTTACATGATATATAACGTGGAATTTGATCAAGATCATATTTAAGATTACATAATTTCCAAAGTCTGATCACATTGTCATCAAATCTTTCGTAATATCCAATATTCAAATCGTAGGGTCCAGCCCTTCCTTTTATTATACTCACAAAGCTTTTGAAGAGACACCATTGCTATGATGATGACAATTCAAGATTTGAATTAGTAATTATAATTTATTTATTTAGTTAGTTAATAAAATTCTTATTTTAATAAAAGCTATGGTGCGATTAGGTGCATCACAAAGTTATATAGAAAAAGGAAAATGAAGAATATGGCACTGTACCAAAATTCATGATACAACAATCATCATTAAGCAATAGAAAAATAAAAAGGAAAAGTCATTCCTATTACTAGGAAAAGGTCATATCCGAAAGAAAAAGGCCTAACATCTCATCATATAATCGTAATTGTAATTATTAAAATATGTCGGTAAAACCTAAAAAGTAGTTCAAAGTAGAGATAGATGGAGCTTAAATATTTTATTATTAAAATGTAAAGTTTATAATAAAAAATAATAATTATTTAAGTTTTGTTTTAAAAAGATTACCATCTTTCTATACTTTATCCATTTCCTTTCTATGACTTCTTTCTAATATTCTGACATATTATTTATCATCTTTTCAAATATTAGAGTCCAAATATATATTTTGGCGTAGAGTAAAGTAATGTTATTTAGTCAAATTTTTCATTTGAGCAAATTGATCTTTACTTCTTTTCTTAAGTCAATTTTTGGATGTTTTGCATGCATCAAGATAGGGTGTTACATGTGACTCATCTGCGAGTTAAGATGAATTTATATTTGTCTAGGATTATTAAGATATGTTCAGATTGTTGATATGAGTTTTTTTTATGTACATGTATTATATCTTATGAGAATAAAAGTCCTCAAAGCTAGTAAAAAAACTTGATCTAGGTAAGAAAAGTTAGTTGTTAGATGAATTGGATGTGGTCATCATATATGATATTATACAATTGATCTATGTTGATAAAATTTTGGATGCTGGATAATAATTGAATTATAAGTATCAGAGAGTTGTTTGATGCATGAAATGTTTTGTAGTTTGGGTTAGTATTGATAAATTAGATATATCAATTGAGTCAAATTTAGTCTAGTTTAAAGTCATTTGAAACTAAATATATAACATTTTTGGCATGAAAAAGGATTAAAAGTGCCTAGTGGAACCAATTTAAGGATTATATATATCTGATGAGTTTTCTGAATCATGTAAACTTGCTAAAGGAGTCATCTTCTCGTTGAGAAAAATTTAAGTTTTTAAAATTGATAGAGCTTAAGTTGCATTACCCGTTAAACGAACTTTTAAATAAAGTTCTCAAGGTTTTGGGTTGTTGGATAAGTGAATCACTCGTTGAGAAAAATTCATTTTATCAATAACTTGATATCATTGGGAGGTTTGGTGTTTGGGCAAGTCTGGTGTCATTGAGCGAATTTATTTGTTCAGAACAGCTAGTACTTGGTCGTTGTGCAAGTTGTTAAGCTAAGATTGTTTAGAGAGTCTAGACTATCTAAAAACTCAAGTTTTAAAGTTTAACATACAACACTTAACGAAATATTGTTTAGTGAAATATAGTGTCTAAGCGAAGTGCATTGTTAAACATTAGCAAGATATACTATGACATGTCAATTATAAAATGTTAAACAATATTTGACAAAAGCACGTCTAAAGAAAGAAGTAGTGAACATTGTGTAATTCATGAATTGTTGTACTACTTTAAAAATCATGTGTTAAACGCTTATCTTATAAATCATGCTGAAAAACTTTCTTAAACTAAGGACATTAAAGGCATGAACATATTGTAGCTTTGTCTGCTTTGTGTTTTCTCTCTTTATCTATATAGATAATGACAACACCAAGCTTTACTCAAAAGCACTACACATGGATCAGAAAGATGTCCTGAAATAGAAAGACATTCCTAGAATGTTTTCCTAAAGCTTTATGTCTTGCCATAGCCGTACAACCTCACACCGCTAAACTAATGCTGCTCTTCTCAAGATGCATAAAAGTATAAATCTTCGTATGAGAAGCCACCTACTTCCAAGAAAGTCAACTCTTTCTAAGTAAAGGTCATCTCTCGAAGAAAGTTATATAAGGAGGACTTACATAAGAGAATAGCAGAACTTTTGCTATCATTGAATTATTACACAGTTAATCTCTCTAAAAGCTTACATCATTTGTCTGTTCTTTAAACTAGAAAGAACTTTGCAAGTTCTTAGATCTTATTGTATTGTATTTATCCTATCTTTGAGAGTTATCAGAATCTGTACTTGTATTCAAAACATTAATTGTGTTTGTATATTCAGAAGTGAATAAAACACTTATATTTTTTAACTTAGTTGAGTTAAACATTCTAGACAGGTTGTCTAGTGTTGATACCAATGGTTAAACTCCAACAAGTCAGGTTAACTAGGGGAACTATAAGTCGTTGATAATACTTGTATACTAAGAGTGATTTGTACTTATTTGTAATATTTGAAAAAGATTAGTGAACCCCTTAAGAGATCATAAGGAAAAATTAGACGTAGCTAAGGTTGATTGAATCAGTATAAAAATAGTTGTGTTATTACTTTTCTTGTTCAAAATGCTTACTTAAAAAACACAAGTGTCTAACAACTGCTGCAATATATCTAACACTCGCAATAGTTATTAAATGTTCTTTTTGTGAAAAGTATTTGAAACATTATTTAAGCCCATTTAAGCCCTCTCCCCCTACCCACCACCTTCACCCTCCCTTTTTAGTGTTTCCTTCTATTTCACGAGTCAAACTTCTTATTGAGCGAAATTCATCAAATTAAAATCTATAGACCTTAAAAGGGCGCTACAAAAAAGATGGGCATTACCGAAGGCCAGAAACCCTCGGAAACAGCCAAAAACCGTCGGTAGAAGGTAATTACCGAAGTCTTATCGACGGCCAAAGAGCCCTCGGTAAATGCCTTGTCGCTAACATTTACCGAGGGCTTCTGCCCTTCGGTAATTACCGAAGGCCAGGAGCCTTCGGTAATTACCGAAGGATAGTAGCCTTCGGTAATTACCGAAGGGCAAAAGCCCTCGGTAATTTCCGAAGGGCAAAAGCCCTCGGTAATTTCCGAAGGGAAAAGGCCTTTGGTAAGTGCATAACGTGGGAATTTACCGAAGGGCAAAAGCCTCTTGAGCAAGCCAGGTTAAGTGATGCAACCTCTAGAGGTTTCTTGTTTGACAAATGTGATCTCGTGTTGGGCGATCCCTTTATTTTTACAACTTTGGACGAGCATATGAGCTTGCTAAGAAAATATTTGTTTTAGAAGTTTTAAAACAATATTAACATATTATTAATTTATTTAATGATTGAGTACTATGTATGATTGAAAACATGTGATGATTTTGATTTTGATTGAAAATGAGTTGAGATAAAAATTTACACATGAACAAGATCACTATTTTGTGTTAAGATGTATTATCTGGTATGATGTGAACATAATTATTTGTAAGGATGAAATAGTGTTAAGAGATCATAGGTTATGTACTAAATTAGGATTTGAAAAAAGGTTATATTAACTCTACTAATATCAAATTCACAAAAAAAAAGATATTAAGTGATGAAAGTTATTGGACGTTTTCTAATAGCCATATACAGTACATTAGTAATTTAATTCTCTTTACTATATTAATTTTGTTTCATTGGGTGAACATTACATCATTTGGTATTCAGTTATTTTTGTTTGTCCTCAACAGACTTAGCTTAGATTAAGTAATCCGAGTTAACTCATAACTTGGCAATTTGGGGGGGAATCACAAAAACGAGGAATTTTATTTAGCCCTTGTAACAAAAATATGGCTCACACAACAAAGAAAGGTATAACTTGGTATTCCTTTTCAAAGATCATAATCCATAACTGCCTAGACATGTCCAATATAACTACTTTTGTTTACAGTAAAAGAATGTTCAATGATGAACCTTGTTGAAAATGCACACCCAATTATTAACCCTCGGCAAGTGTAACCGAATCATATAAAGTAATAATAAATGGTAAGACAAAGTATCGTTTCTCAAAGGACTCACGGTCTAAACAGTTATGTGATTTGTTGATTAAATTAGACTTGTGAACGAATTCTTGTAGGTTTAAATGCAGTAAATATGAATGCATGTATTGATCAATTGGATCAAAAGAAGCAAAAGTGATTGATGTAAATTATGGAATGATGATGTTGTTGGGGTTTTCAATTCATCCTATCCACTCTCATGTATTCAATAATTCATCTTTCTTCATTAATGTTAATGTCACTTTCTAATTTACCTTAAACCCGATGTCTCGGTAAAGAAAGCCTACTCCTAATTACAATGTCTTGTCTCCCTAGAAATCATTTATGCATTACATTAGCACAGAAGCTTAAAGGAAACCAATCCTCGTATCCCTATGTCTAGGCAATATTACTCTTAGGAGAATTTCTTTAGTTCTAGATTTACTCATATGTGTCCATACAAATAACACCAATGATCATGCAATTGAATGAGTTAAACAAAGCATGCA